AAAAAAAAAAAAAAAAAAAAAGGAAAAACTGGTTCTGGATTATCAGAGTGCCCTTTCAGAAATGGTGTTACTCTAGTACAGTAATGCTTTAATTTCTGAAAGTTTCTATTCTGAATAATGGTTGGAGTCAACTAGTAGTGGTAATAAAAATGTTAGGGTAGAATACTTTACATTTTTGAAGCATTTTAGAGTAAGGTAAGATAGAGTATTGGTTTCAGATATATTGTCTTGACGTTATATTTACTGTAATCTCCTTGTTTGCTTCTAGGATCGGGATTTAGAGAGACTACGTAGAAAATGGCTAAATGTGTTAACAAAGCGTCAGGAGTACTTAGATCAACAACTGCAAAAGCTTGTCAGTAAACATGGTATGAAAAGCAACTTCTAATATTCCCCCCCACCCCAAATCAGTGTGCTGTTAATTCCTATTTGCAGTTACCTGAAATAAAAGTAGACGAACACATCAGTAGTGGGAATGGCGAGAACATAGGAATGGCGCTTATTTGTGTCACATCCTTTCAAAAGGACAGTTATCCACTTGTAAGGATGTCTTTGCATAGGTCTCCCTTCCCTCCAACAAAGAGGAAATAGAGTGTGCAGTAAACATTGTCCCTCAAAAATAACTAAAGGAAGATGCTCACATTTCTTGATTTCTGGTCCAGAGGCACTTGAGCCCTCTGACTCCAGAAGAGATCATCCCTGTGCTGTTCCACCGTAGGCCTTCCATGAACTGGGCGGCCTCTCTATGAGAGCACACCAGCCTCACTAGCTTATAGTTATTTATCATGAGCTTTTTATCACGAATTAGGGAAGTAATAAGTTGCTAGTGAACCCTCCTCAACCAATACATGGAATATAGGAACATCCTGTCGATAACGTAGGACAAAGCATAAACAGCAGGCAAGATGTGGGACCCCTGTTATTTGATCCTCATTCTTGATGTTCTAGATAAAACAGAGGATGATGCTGACCGTGAAGCTCAACTACTAGAGATGAGGTTGACTCTGACTGAGGAGAGGAACGCAGTCATGGTCCCCTCAGCTGGCAGTGGGATCCCAGGGGCCCCGGCAGAATGGTATGGGTGCTGCCCTGTGTCTTCTGAAGTTCTCTGTGCTCACGGAGCTGCCCACTTTCTCTATGAGTGTTGCCTCTGCTTTGATTAATGGATGACTTACCGTAGCGTGTGGGGGAAAAAGTTGTTTTATTTAGAGGAGGTGTTAAATTATTTTCATGAGTTGGAATAACTGTGGCCTAAAACTGTTTTATTAAGTAATATTGTTTTGGGCCCAAGTAATTAAGATTTCTGAGAATCTAAATCAATATTTAGTACCATTGCACTTAGCATTTAAAAAAAAAGTTAATATGTTAATTACTTGGGTCATTCCCTTAAAAGACTATTCGGTCATAATAAAATTGCGTCACCAGGTGTTTTTGATTTTGGTACTAGATTGAACTGTCAGCAAATGTTCTCTGCCGCTTTATAGAAATTAAAAATAGTAAATTAAGCCACATGGGGCCCTTAGGTATATAACTGTATAAGAAAGTACGTTTAAACAAGGGAGCTTCGACTTCAGGGATGAACAGGTATATGTGTTTTCTAAGACTAAGTTCTGATATCAGAGCATATGATAATTATACATGGAAGCACCAGAGAAAAGAGGCAGCAGTGACAGTTAAGTCTTTGTGGCATCTCTGATGTGAAATTATAGCTAACCCAGTACCCAGAATTATCATTGGTTGACCTGTAATTGCTCTGAATGTATGAAGGCTGAGTCGTGAAGCGCATGCCGCTGAGAAAGGCTGCTTTATTTGAGATGCTGTCGTTCGTTATGTTTTAGGACGCCGGTTCCTGGGATGGAAACACACATTCCTGTTATATTCCTTGACTTAAATGGTAAGTTAAGAGGTGCCTTCCGAAGGCAACTCTGACAAATTAGTGTCCACGTAACACTTAGATTCTAACAAAGTATGCAGTTAGGCAATTCTGTAAACCTAACGTTTGAGTCTGTTTTATGTGTGCCAAAGGACTCTAATCCTTGACAAAGAATGAATTTCCTGTAAGAATAGTATTTTTTTTTTTAACAGTGATAGGTATGTCTCATTATGATGTGTTCTCACGTTTCATTCTACAACCCATACTGCTTTGTGTGCTTTGTTCTCCCATCAGTTTAGGATGGCAGTAATGTTTTCCACACTTAAGATATTTTCTTCTTTAATTCTCAGGAGGACTCCTCTCCAGAAAGGACTAATAACTAGTGACGCTTATGTAGCACGTTGCTTTTATCTGGTGTCTTCTTAGCATTACCTAATGAATTTCTCACTTTATCTGTGAGTTCTTGTGCCATTCATCACTGCATTGCCTTTTTTTTTTTTTTTAAATAACTGTCATTTTTTTCCCCCTCATGTAAAATATTTTGGATGTGGCTACATTTTACAAATATTCTGTCTGAGGAGGGAAATAAAAATGGAAAGGTAGATTAAAGAGCTAAAAATAAGTTTGAAAGTCAGCATTTAAATTCCAAAGACATCTGCAGAAGAACTGTGTATTAAAATGAACCATCCTAAATAGACAAGCTTGGATGTCCTCAGTGGTTTTCTTCTGCCCTGAAAGTGCGTTACAGCATCTCAGGTATTTAGCGTTCTGTGCTGCTTGGCTTACTTGGACCTGTGAGAGTTTTTCATATACACACGGAGTCAGAGAAGAGCACTTAGCCACTTGCACCGTACATCCACCTGTCGAGGTTTTAATGTATTGCCACAGCACTCTATCCTTCCTTGTTCTCTTGAGCCTTGGAGACTGAGGGTGACTCTGTCTTGTTCTTACCTGAGGTTCCTAGATAGGTTAGGGGTGTGTGTGTGTAGGAGGGTTAGAAAGTGGAAGAGAATAAGCTTCAAGAAGACCTATTAGTATGGATATTCCAAGACAGGAGGAGCACCCTGTTCAACCTATGCCCGTTCTTGGTCCACACAAGCCCATGTACTAGAAGAAATACTTTCGACATTTACTTGCAAGCTTAAGATGCACAGGGAGTCGGGAGGGCCAGGCTTGGAAATGAATAACCAAAGGGCCACAGGGCAGCCCTTCAGTTTCTTAACCGTCGGATGATTGGAATCACTCTCACTCTCATTTCTTCAGTGCACTAAAAGACAGGGAATTGGGGTTCTAATCCTATCATTAACATTTATGGGCTGACCTGGTGTAACCTCTTGGGTTTCTTGGCTTCGGTTGCCTTCCATGTAAAATAAGGCATGGAGGTAGGAGAATGGATTTAGATAATTTCTCAAGGCGTTTTCCATCTCTAAGATCTGTGAACTGTTTAATGGTCATCATCTGTGTGATGTAAGATTTCAGAGCCAAAAAGCAAATGAAATTTGAGGCAGGAGAATTCTGCTACTCAGCACATTGACATTTAGCTGGTAGGGGTTATCCTTTAAAGTGATCTCCATATTTAGTGGAACTTCTCTGCTTTTAGCTGATGATTTCAGCTCTCAGGATAATCTTGACGACCCAGAAGCTGGTGGATGGGATGCCACCCTGACTGGAGAAGAAGAGGACGAGTTCTTTGAACTGCAGATTGTCAAACAGCACGATGGGGAGGTAAGTAAAGCATAACTCGGGAAGACTGGGTGAAAAGTCGTTTCTTTAACCTTTCCACGAGCCTTTGAAAACAATCAGCAAGGTAATCATTTCAGTGCTTACATTTCTCAAGAAATATGAATGAAAACCTTTCAATAGGATTTCCAGAAAGAAGGGAACCACTTCCAGAAGGAGTAGACCAATCAGATCACATCCATTCACTGTTTTACTTCTTTTCCTGGTGAAGGATCTTTGTTAGTGATTCATAGTTCAGGTCAGCAGTGGTCTGCTCTCTGGGGAAATGCTCCTGAATTACATAGAGGTAAAATGGCACAGTGTTTGGGATTGACTTCGAAATGCTTTAGTAAAGACTTCTTAATAAGGGAGAAAAAGATGAAGCCACATGATAATGTTTGAATCTGAGTGATGGGTATACACTGGGGGCTTATTTTCTAATTTTGAGCATATTGGAAAAGTTATAAAATATATTAAGGAAGGAAAGCCGACGTGATACTTTGAAGGACACATCATCACATAGTGAGTGGTATTCTGAAGATGCAAAACTTGAACTGCGGTGCCTTCTGTAAAACAGAGGACCTGCACCCTTCTTTAATAAGTCAGTGCCATGAGTGACAAAGAAAGCCTGGGGAACCAGCCTAGATGAAAGTAGACTAAAAGAACAGGACAGCTAAATGCAGTTTGTGATCCTGGGTCAGAACAGTTGAAACATTTGAATATGGACTCTGTATCATATAGTAGTATTGTATTGATGTTAAATTCCTGAATATGATAATTGTCCTATGGTTAAGTTACAGGATGTCCTTGCTCTTAGAAGATACTTGCTGAAGTATTTAGGGATGCAGAATTACCTGTCTATAACTTACTCTAAAGTGGTTCAGTAAGAAAACCCAAAAAACAACAGCAGTAATTCTCTGTGTGTTTGTGTGTGAGAGAGGGAAAAGGGCAAAGTGTTAACAGGTGGTGAATCTACCTGAAAGAAATACAGGAGTTCACTGTGCTAAATTTGCAACTTTTATGTTTGAGTATTTTTCAAAATAAATAAATTTTAGCTGCCGGCCAGGAACAGCCTGCTCTGTCCTCCCCCGAGTAGGTGCCTGAGGAGGCCACATCCTGGGATTCCCATGGTCTCCCAGGGCACTTCTCTTAGCAGAGCTGCACTCATTGACTGGCCTGCTCCACTTCAGCCCAAGCCAAGTTGTTTCCTTGTGGGGTTTTGTGTTTTAGGAGGAGGGGGTGACTGTTCTGTGTTCTCTGCAGGTGAAAGCGGAAGCCTCCTGGGACTCTGCAGTGCACAACTGCCTTCAGCTGAGTAAAGGCACACCCGCGGATGAGCGAGTGTTTCTCATCGTGCGGGTGACGGTCCAGCTCAGCCATCCGGCAGACATGCAGTTGGTATTACGCAAGCGCATTTGTGTCAGTGTTCACGGCCGGCAGGTGAGTCATTGATCCTAGATGAAGAAATGACTTTGGGTCAGACACGAGGGCGGGACTATGGAAGGATTGCTCTGGCCTCCTGTTCCCCCAGGCTCTGTGAAGCTCTGAGCTTTTCTCTTTCAGTTGACTATTGCTGTCCTATAACCGTGCTTGCTTCAATCCTGGAACCTGTCAGCCTGACCTCCTCCTCCTAGACGACCCTGAATTGTTACCCTGAATCTTTGTTACTGCAGAGGCACAGCTCACAGCCCTTCCTTTGGGTGCCATAGGGCCCTGTCAAGGCGAAGTTCACTGTTTTTGTCTTTGACTTTTCATCTGGGTCTTACAAGATGAGAATGTTCACCGCAGATGAGCTGTTGTTTGTGCTGTTCACCATTTTGTTTTCCGTGCCTTTCTTTTCTTTCAGTCCTCTCTGCCGGTTCATTGATTGTGTATTTGGAGAGAGTACTCTGTCAAGCTTTGGGGTAAAAAGATGAATAAGAAATAATCTGCATCCTTAAAGAGCCAGTGTCCACTGGCCTATGAGTGTATAAGCAGATGATTCTCTTCTACTGTGGTAGTGCAGCTCAGAGGGTGAGAGTGCAGTCAGGGAAGGCTTCAAAGACGAGGGGGCATGTGAGCTGCTCCGTTGCAGGCAGGGGTGGTTGGCAGGTGGAGGAGTCGCTGGCTATTTCATGGAGAGGAGGAAATATCTGTGCAGAGGTGGTGAGGAAGGAAAGGGCGTGGCAGCTTGGGGACCGTTAGAAGCAGAGTGTGACGGGGTGTGCCGCAGAGGCCACGGCTGAGGCCATCAACACAGTTGCAGCTAGGTTATGAAGGACCTTGTGCCATATGAACCGGTTTAGTAGAAAACTTCTAGATAAGAATATAAAGGATTTCTGCTGTTGGTTCTGCAATGATACGATTTGGGAGGTTGATTCTAGGGATTCTTCTCAAAACACTGGCTAAAGCCAGGAGAGATGAAAATAAATCCTTTCATTTAGAAGAGTACAGTCATGGTTGACAGAGTCCTGGATGTAATCTCCACCCCTAAAAATTAATCTTTAGTTCTAAATGTCACACTGATATCAATCTTTGGATGAAGACTGGCAGTGATGCTGTTAAAATTGCAGCTCTTTAGCTTGGCGATCCAGCATCAGTACATACAGGTCATGGCGTAGCTGTAGATGTATGTATATGCCGTGTCTCCCATTCACTCTTTTCTTGGTCTCCCTTTTCTTGGAAGTCTTTTTTTAAAATAAATTTAATTAATTAATTTATTTATTTTTGGCTGCATTGGGTCTTCATTGCACATGCAGGCTTTCTCTAGTTGCAGTGAGCGGGGGCTACTCTTGGTTGCCGTGCGTGGGCTTCTCATTGCGGTGGCTTCTCTTGTGGAGCACGGGCTGTAGGCGCGTGGGCTTCAGTAGTTGTGGCACATGGGCTCAGTAGTTGTGGCTCGCGGGCTCTAGAGTGCAGGCTCAGTCGTTGTGGCGTACGGGCTTAGATGCTCCGCAGCATGTGGGATCTTTCCGGACCAGGGCTTGAACCATGTCCCTTCCATTAATAAGCGGATTCCTAACCATTGTGCCACCTTGTAAGTCTGGAGTCAAGAGTGAAGGGATGAAATAAATGCATTCTAAGAGGCTTTTGCATTCTAAGAGGCTAAAATCTTTTTAAAAGTTAACTAAAGATCACTGAATTATTATTAAGTTTGTGAAAATATGTACTTCTGAGACCAAACAGCTTTTTTCCTATTCTGTTTGGGGGTTTTTACCTATTCCTACTTGGCTTTTGCATGAGGGAAAAAGGTTCAGTGTCAGTTTAATATTCTCTCTTATTCTTGTCTTTATTCACCAATTATATTCTGCCCTCATCCGTGCTCTCTTCAACCTCTACAGGATTCAGTCTTAGCAACATCTTCAAGTGAGTCATCTATGCATTAATTCAACAGTTCAATTCTTAACTGTGCAAAAAGCACAGTCAGCATAAACAATGACCATGCACTCTTAAATCATTCTTCATAACGATCCTGTTTTGGTCAAGAAGTAATGCCTGGACTTGTCAATATTCATAGTGCAAGATGTCCATCGTGCTGGAAAGAAAAAAAAAAAAGGATAAGGGTCACCAGCCCTTCCTTACATCTTTGTTAGAAGGTCATTTTATCTTGTAGAAGTCAACAGTCTTATTTCTGTAGCCTTTAAGCAGAGTTGAACCAGATGCCTAGTGTGGTTCCAGAGTTTAGGGTTTGTACGTTTCATATATTCGGTATGGGACCTGTCATGTGGCAGGCATACAAATTGGTTTGGGGCACTAAGACAAAGTTGAGGAACTTACATGTAGTGATTTGGAGTCTGACTTATATTGGGAGTATGTTCTTTTCCTTTTTGGTTAGAGTGAATGTGGTGTCGTTTATGCTGTCCCTTTGTTAATGAAAACTCAGTTTTTGAGGTGGGAAACCATATCTTCTATTTTGTTTTTCTCTAGGGTTTTGCTCAGAGTCTCCTAAAAAAGATGTCACATCGAAGTTCTATTCCAGGCTGTGGAGTGACCTTTGAAATTGTCTCCAATATTCCAGAGGTGAAGGATCATATGAAATTTGAATATACTAAAATTAAACATGTAGAAAGAGCAAACTCCCTGAAAAGTCACCTGTGCAAGAAATGTGTGTTAAATGAAAATGTATATTTAGGAAAATGTTATAGATTTGTAGAGGAATTTCCTAATCTTAACTTGATTCAGAGTAAAATGTACTTGTGTGGCTTTAAAGGTTTTGGTTTTAGTATTTTGTTAAAGAAGAATCTTTTGAAAAGCAAATCAACACCTTTTTACCCACAGAAGAGGGTATAACCCTTGAAGGAAGGCAACACAGCATAACATAGAGTTTCAGGGTTTCATTTGGGAATGAAACAGAAATCTTGTTTCTGTCACCTCTTAGTGACGTGAACTTGGGTAAGTTACTTTGAGCCTAAATTTTTTCATTTATCAAATTGGGTTAGTGATACCTTCTGTACAGCGTTTTTTTAAGGATTAAATGAGACAATATACACAAATTGTTGTGTACATGCTAAACAATAAATTGTAATTGCTAACTATTATTATTATAATAATAGTTACTATTACTATTTCTCTTTCTGAGCTAATTCAGATATGCACAGGAATCAAACAGCTAGAGCTGAAAATACCCCTGACAGGAGCTTGCTGGAGGATGTAGTTTATATGTGCTTCCTAGTACTTAATTCCTGATTTAGACAGATTTGTGCACTTGGTTATTGGCATAGCTAGTAACGAGGCCTTCCTTACAGGAGTAGGAGAAGTGAGGGGTCTAAGAAAAGGACCCGACAAAAAAGACAAGAGTGGCTCCTTCTGCCACATTGACTACCCAAAATCGGGGAGTGAGTGGGGAGGTCCAGGCTGTGCTGCCCTTGGGGGGTGGAAAATGGGAATGGGACCCTGGGGCGAGCACTCCCTCCTAAGCACACCATCCATGGTGCCTTCATTCTCTTGATTCAAGGGCTCAGTGCTTGTTGATTGATTCTGTTGATTATTTGAACAATAGATGGACAATATATATTTTAAGACAGATCAGGTTTTGGAAGAGTGAAAAGATTGCACAGTACTTAGGCTTTGTTTTAGAGTTCTTATATCACAGAACACTCTTCCTCTCAAATAATGTCAAACAGTGACTAATTCTTGCCTGGACCTTCAAAGTATTAGGCTTACATAGCACATATTAACTGTTTATTTAATTTGGAGCCTGCTGACCATTTAAAAATTGAGCCCCTTTTTGAGTTAGACAAGCTGCAAAATCTTGGATCTGGAATATATTACTCTTTTTATACTTATATGTGGGGGCTAGAGATTTACTGTTTATTCTCTGTATCTGAGTGTTTTCTCTTTTTTCCAGTTGTTTCAGATCTTAACTCTATAAAACGGTTTGAATGCAGTTGAGAAACAGTGACACTTGCAGTGAACTATCTTCAGTTTTCAGTTTTTCCTTTTCTCCCATCATCTTTTGTCTCTTCTCTCATTTGTAGTGTTTTTTTTTTTTTTTTGGCTGTGTTGGGTCTTCATTGCTGCGTGTGGATTTTCTCTAGTTGCGGCGAGCGGGGGCTACTCTTCATTGCAGTGTGCTGGCTTCTCATTGCAGTGGCTTCTCTGTTGCAGAGCATGGGCTCTAGGTGCGCAGGCTTCAGTAGTTGCGGCACGCGGGCTCGGTAGTTGTGGCGCACTGGCTTAGATGCTCTGCGGCACGTGGGATCTTCCTGAACCAGGACTCGAACCCGTGTCCCCTGCATTGGCAGGCGGATTCTTAACCACTGCACCACCAGGGAGGTCCCCCATTTGTAGTTTTCTTATCTTCTTTAACAGTGCTTTTATTCTTCAGGTGATGCGGTTTTTCAAAGGGCAGAAATGAAGGGAAATCAGCGGAAAGATAAACATATAGCCTCACGTGATGGGGCTACCTGTTAATAATTAGCTAAATGTCTAAGTTGGGAAGTGTTAGGGTCACATTATCAAATCCTGATGATAAAGAAAAAGGAAAAGTGAGACTTAAAGCTTACAATGTAAGGACTACACTAGTTTATTTTTTATTTCAAAATAAAATAAAAAGCTTCTTAAAAGCTAGAATTCATCATGAAAAAGCCTGGAAAAGTTCTTTGTGTTCCATATTACAGAAGCTTTGAGGGCTTGGTAGCAAAAAGAAGTAGTCATAGACCAGAGAGCAACAAGAGATGGTTTCACCTTTCTTCCTTTTTTTTTTTTTTTTTTAAAAGCAACTAGAATGCTTTCATTGCTAATGGGAGTGTAAAATGATACCACCACTAGCAGTTGATCATAAAGTTAAATAGACACCTACCCTGTGACCCAGTAATTCTACTTCTAGGTCCTTACCCAAGAGAAATGAAAGCATATATCCATGAAGATCTGCACAGGAATATGCAAAGCAGCTTAATTCAAAATAACCTAAAACTGGAAACAACCCAAACATCCATCAACAGACGAATGGATAAATAAATTGTGGTATATCCATACTGTGGAATATTACTCAGCCATACAAAGAAATGAACTATGTGAACGAATCTCTAAATCACTATGCTAAGTGAAAAGCCAGATGCCAAAGGGTGTCATTCCATTTATGTGAACTTCTAAAACAGGTGAACTAATCTGTGGTGAAAGAAACGACCTTGCCTTGGGGGAAGGGTAGGGGTCGAACTTTCTGAGGAAATGGAAAGTTTTATTTCTTGATAGGAAATGGAAATGTTTTATATCTTGTGTGGATAACATGGATATATAATATATACATTTCTTTAAAACTCAGGTATCCTCTTTCTTAGAAAATCAGGATATTCAGTGGTTAAATGAACACTCTATCAGGAGTCAGGAGACCTAATTCTAGTCTTGCTTCTTTTGCTAATTATGCGACCTTCCTCTTTCCTCATTTGTAAAATGAGGATGATTCCTGGGCCCAAACGAATTACTGTAGGAGACAAAAGTTTTGTGAACTTAAGCTGTCGTCTGAATTTTTCCATATTTTATCCATTCTAAGGCTTATGTAAATTTTTTAAAATAAATTCATTTATTTTATTTATTTATTTTTGGCTGCATTGGGTCTTCGTTGCTGCACGCAGGCTTTCTCTAGTTGCGGTGAGCAGGGGCTACTCTTGATTGCAGTGTGTGGGCTTCTTGTTGTGGTGGCTTCTCTTGTGGAGCACGGGCTCTAGGCGCACGGGCTTCAGTAGTTATGGCGCGTGGGTTCAGTAGTTGTGGTTCGCGGGCTCTAGAGTGCAGGCTCAGTAGTGGTGGAGCACGGGCTTAGTTGCTCTGCAGCATGTGGGATCTTCCCAGACCAGGGCTCGAACCCGTGTCCCCTGCGTTGGCAAGCAGGTTCTTAACCACTGTGCCACAAGGGAAGCCCGTAAGGCTTATGTAAATTTTAAAAAATATTTTTGAAGTTAGAATGTGTCTTATAATTGATGATATCTTAAAGTTAATTGGCAGAGTTTTTTTCCCTCCTTAGTGGTATATAAGATGTCTTTTCTTAAGTCGATCGTATCTTAAGATGCAGTGGCATGCGGATATATATTTTGTAGTCTTTGACGTTACTATAACAAATTCATCAGTAAAAAAAAGTATCTCATTTTTCCTGAGAAGAGTACTTTGTTATGAGCCCCATGAGCTTGAGATACCTGACTACATTAACAAAGTCCCTCCCTGACTTGCAAACATCCCATTTATATGCCTGGACCAGTTATGTCCAGGGAGCTGGGCGAGTGAGAATTTGCTTAGTTACTTCTCTTCTTGGTCAGCTTCCAGCCTTCGGCCTCTGCCACTGCAGAGTTGGGGATTGAGACCACACTTGGAATATGTAGTCTGTGGGAGGCTGCTTAGCAAAAGGGTTGGAACCCAGCCCTTCTTTCCATTCTTAGCCTCCATACCTGTGTCTGTCTCCTGCAGGGGTTGTTTGGATCCCACACGTATCCAGCTGTTACCCCAGCTCCTCAGTCCTCCCTCTGGCCCCCCAGGATATGTTCAGGAAGTACTCTTGTGCTTAGATTTCCAGCTAGCCCACCAAATCCTTTCTAACCAGGAATGTCTTTGTTTGCAATGGAAATGTGGGAGAGAACAGTTTTGTTAAAAATGTGCTGTGTTTCAGCTGCTCTGTGTTTAACCAGCCTTTCAAGTGAACCTAACCACCATTTATACCATGATTTCTGTGGGAAAATGCATTTTGAGTTCTAAAAGCTGACTTTAAAATGGAATTTGGAATACATGCCATTTGTTCGTTCAGTACTCTTGTGTGTATTTGTATAGATCAGGAAGCTTTTGTAACATTTTCTTCTGCAAGGTACTTAATTTTAATATACAATTTTCCATTCTCCAGGATGCCCAGGGAGTAGAGGAACGAGAAGCATTAGCAAGAATGGCAGCTAATGTTGAAAACACGGCTTCTGCTGACTCGGAGGCATATATTGAGAAATACCTCAGGAGCGTGCTGGCAGTGGAGAACCTTCTCACGTTAGATCGACTTCGCCAGGTCAGCCGACAGAGCTGGTGGCCGTGGTGCCAGCCCAGCCTGACTCTGGGTTTGACTTTCCACAAGTCACAGTATTGTTACATCTAAACTTTTGAAGCCTCTAAGTGGAGCATATTAATTTAGATTAAACTTGCTGGGTAAGTCTTTGAAGATACAGAAACTACTGGAAAGTTACTTTTTCCAAGACCCTAAATGGTATCTAGTTGCCCTTTGGAAGTAGTGGAAGAGAATATGTAACTCTTGGTGGCTAAGTATTTTAGAAATTCCTTGATACTGGGTCATAATGTCACAGAAGGTAGAGTGCTGTGCCCTTCTTTGCCTCCACAGCCTCGGTGTGGATCTCTAGAAGGGAAAACAGAAGTGCCAGCCTAAACCTAAGCCTCAGAGAAACCCTGAGCTCCATTTTATGTGACAGTGTTGAGACTTTGTTTTTTTTAACCAAAAATACGAATGAAAAATAAAAGAGGATGGTCTGCTTTTAATAATCTTTCTCTTGGGACTGACTTCTGGCCAGCTTCAGGGGGGCCGTCAGTAGATACAGAAAAGAATGATCCAGGTAACCTGTCAGCTGTTTAATTAACTTTGAGTATTCCACAGTGATGGTAATTGAGTCATTCTGTCGTTTAAAGAACTAGGAATGTGTCCACAGCTCAGAGCCTGCTTTAAGATACTGTTACTTTGGAAGTGTGTCTCTCATGTGTATTTTTCGTCTGTATTTTCTCTGACTGACAGGAAGTTGCAGTGAAGGAACAGTTGACAGGGAAAGGGAAGCTGAACAGGAGGAGTATTAGCTCTCCAAATGTGAACAGAGTGAGTACATGGGACCCCGTTCTGTGCTCTGCTTTCGTTCCTCCTCTTTCCTTGGATAACTCCTTCCCATCCTTTGAATCTAATCTCGGATATCCTTTCCTTCTATGAACTGATTTAAGTGTCCCCATTCTCTACCCTGAAGCATCGGTGCACCCCTCTGTCACTGCCCTTCCTAATTTTACAGGGAAAGTACCCATGTGAGTCCCTCTGTAACGTTTCTCGTTTATCTTCATGTCGCCAGTGCCTGGCACAGTGACTCTGTTAGGTGAGTGTTTGTTGTACTAAAGCAAAACTAGCCGAGTGCCTAGAGAAACTGTTTGAATTTTCTAGGCCAAACTGACTTACTTATAAATTGAGGAGAAGTCTGGGCTAGGTTTATAAACTGTGATCTATCTCTACTTTCCTTACTTTTGATAAAGATATGAATATGAGAGATAGTACACTTTTGTCTGAACTTGATACCCAGAAAAACCATGGTACAAGCATTGAAATAAAGAGCAACTGACCCTTAGCCTTGGTGTTGGAGAGGTCCCAGTGAGAGGCAGGACGGGTCTCAGGCTGGAGGGCACATGTGGCCCCGCGAGACTGAGTGACGTCACTGATGATCTCAGACGGAAAGATTGGGAACATTCTCAGGCAGTAAAAAAATACCACCTTAAGTCAGCGTAAATATCTTCTCATTCCTTCAGAAAATGATCTACCAAAATGCACTGGTATGTGCAGAGATTTGGTATTTAGAATCCTATCGTTTAAAATAAATAGTTTGCATGTATACATTTGCTACAATACCCAGAGAAAGGAGTCGTCCGATTAGGATAGGGTAAGGTAACCAGTAACCTGGTATCCTTTAAATAGAAGGGGATAAACAAATGAAGTGTCTCTTACTTGGGCCCAGCCAGCTGTTGCCTCAGTGTACGCTGGATATCTGATGTTATACAAACCTCCCATCTTAAAAATGTTAATCAATTCAATTAAAAAAAAAACAAACTGCACCTGACAGTGTCCCAAAGGCCACTAAGTCTAGTTTGTAACTTTGGTCTTGACAGCCTGTCTGATACCATCCAACTTCAACATTCTGTTGATTCGGTCTTCGAAGTCTTGTATTTCCAGGACCATAGATCTATGTACTTTTGCACATGAACGACTCATCCCCCTCTTTATTTCTTGTTTAGCTGTCTGGCAGCCGACAGGATCTTATTCCATCCTACAGTCTAGGTAGCAACAAGGTGAGTATTTGTAACTATTTTCCATCAGTCTTTAACCCGTTTCCCATTCCAGCTTTCCGCTTCTCAAATATCACACGCTAGGTTTTTTGTTTTTTTGTTTGTTTGTTTGTTTGTTTGTTTTTTGCGGTAGGCGGGCCTCTCACTGTTGTGGCCTCTCCCGCTGCGGAGCACAGGCTCCGGACGCGCAGGCTCAGTGGCCATGGCTCACGGGCCCAGCCGCACCGCGGCATGTGGCATCTTCCCAGACCGGGGCACGAACCTGTGTCCCCTGCATCGGCAGGCGGACTCTCAACCACTGCACCACCAGGGAAGCTCTCACACGCTAGTTTTGCGTGCCACATTTTCTCCCAGTTTTCTATACTGTGTGAAATTTATTGGAGAGCGTTGAGTTCATTTCTTTTTATCTGCCAGTTAAAATAATGTTACCGAGACCTTATTACTGCTCTACTTTCTAAGGGTTAAAAAACAATTTAGTTGCTTAAGTTCTTCTGTTGAAAATATTCTTCCTGTTTGTGTCAGAAAAGGAACTTCATGTCAGATTTTTAATAGTAAAATATTGATGAAATGATTGAAAATATGTGAGGAGTAAGATCATGTCTAAAAGTTAATATTATTTGTTAGAAGAAAGAAAAATAAGTGAACAGAAATTTTGTTAACTGGAATGTATTTACTTGCTTGTTAATATAGCTTTCCCCAATATAACAGACTTTTAAGCATAGACAATTCATTATCATGTACTTAAAGGGCTCACACTTGAAATTGTAACTGGATGTCACATGACACAGTTTTGTGCCTGCCGTTTTTTGAGGGACCTCGTTAGATGTTGGTGCTGCCAGCTGCCGGCAGTGTGCTCTGTGTCGATGTCTTCACCCTTTAGGAGGCCAAAAGTGTCATATGAAATGGTCTGACGTGAGGAAGTTGTGTCAGAGTAAAAGAAGATACAGATAAAAGAAGATTGGCTATTTAATCATTATCAAAGCTGAGTGGTATTCATCACACTATTCTTACACTATTCTTTCTATTCTTGTTAAATATTCTACAATCTGTCTTTGTATAGGTTTGAAATTTTCCTTATAAAAACTTAAGAAAAAGACAATGAAGTTGATGAACGATTAGACTCATTTTTAAGATCTAGGTTACTAGGAGTTTACCTGAAGTAATACACAGATATGTATGTATGTATATATATCCTATTATTTCAGGCAAACTACCAGTAATATATATCTCAGTGCTTATAGGCAAATAACTTGCTCTCCAGCTCATCAATTCACTGACCACCTACCATGCGTCTGAAAGTGTGCTAAGGTTTAGTACTCCTTGATACGGGTCCACTGACAGGTGTGATTAGCTCTTGATAATCATAGCATAGTTGTAATTAGCTAAACAAAGCAGAGTTTATGGAAAATTGTGTCATTATTAATTATAAATAACTCAAGTGTTTTAAGGAAAATATAAGAAAAAACCATGACTTTCTGTGTTTTTTTTGAAATCCATCTAACCCAAATCCTCTATCATGAATTCCTTGCAAAAAAGTAGCCAACATTTCTTCAGCTTTTCTCTCTCACCCTAGTTTCCTTATGTTTAAATGAAGAAAATAATAGAAAGCAGTAGTATCTGCTTGAAAAAGAATGATTGTTTCATCTATACCAAATAAACAGAATAAAGGAACACAGATGCTGTAATAGAAGTATGCCCAGGTAGAGTAGGAGCCCAGAGGAGGGAGTGGGCACTTTTATAGGTATTATTCAGGGACCAAGAGAGGCTGCAGAGAGGGGGAACCCCCCGCCCCCAGTAAGCTTAATGCTGAAAGAGGATAAGGTCCACCCAAGGCAGGGAAGGGGTTGAAGCAAAAGTGTGAACAGAAGTGTGGAAGGAGGAAAGACCATGAGTAAAGCAGAGAGGGTGTAGTGTGGGGTAGAGCCCAGAGAAAGGGGCCTTATTTCAGAAGTTCCTATAGATGTGCCTAGGAGTAGCGGGGGAGCTGGGTCCCTTGAAGGAGTATTTTTAAACAGTCCACCTAAACCCCACTCATGTTCCTGGCTGTGGTGTATAAAATTACGTTAGAATAATGTACATAGTAGAAATGTGTACAGTTACCAATGCACAAGTGAGGGTGGGGACAGCAGGTGGGGTAGAGCAGCGGGGAGGGGGAGGGAGAGATTCAGGACGTGCTCAGGAGATGGAAGCTCTAGAGCTTGGCGACATGAAGAACAAGGTGGAGCCCAGGGGAGACCGGGTGACGTGGGCTCTGGGTGACAGTGCAGAGAGGTGAATGTTGCAGGCGCAGGTTTGGGGAAGAAAATGATTGAGGTCAATTTTGGACAAAAGGTTATGTCTGCCAGTTCAGGGGTCTGGAAGCCTGAGCTGAAGACAGATTGGGGAGCTCAGGGCCTGGTTGAAACAGTGTGAGGGATTTGAGCACAGAAGCGAGGCTGTGCGGGCGTGATGGTGATACTTTCAGGCCTGCACAGGAGGGGAAGCCAGCCAGGGTGACGACGGACTGGAGTCCTCAAAGAGGAGGGGAGGCGCAGGAGGGAGGCTTGGAAACTGGTGCCTGAGAAAGGCGGTTTAGGAGCTCCTTCCAGACTCCTCAGAGACCGAAGTGAGGACTGAAAAGACTATTTTGGGTGTGAGAGTGAAGAGTTTATTGGAGGCCTTTCCCAGGTCAGTCTCTTCTGTGGAGGATTGGGGAGAAGTAAGCAGGATGTGTTTTGGGGCGGTTTTTTGTTTGTTTGTTTGTTTGTTTGTTTTTTGCGGTACACTGGCCTCTCACTGTTGTGGCCTCTCCCGTTGCGGAGCACAGGCTCTGGACGCGCAGGCTCGGCGGCCATGTCTTACGGGCCCAGCCGCTCCGCAGCATGTGGGATCTTCCCAGACCGGGGCACGAACCCATGTCCCCTGCACTGGCAGGCGGACCCTCAACCACTGCGCCACCAGGGAAGCCCTGTTTTGTTTTTTGTTTGGGTTTTTTTTCTTGGGCGCGCTGCGCAGCTTGCAGGATCTTAGTTTCCTGACCAGGGATCGAACCCGTGCCCCCTGCAGTGGAAGCGCAGAGTCCTAACCACTGGACCGCCAGGGAAGTCCCAGCAGGGTATATATTAAATGAGTAAATAAATTACACATTTTTTTGTTACTCTACCAGGACCTTTCCTTTTTCAGTCATCTTGATGTCCTGGGGCCCCTGGGTAACTTAGAGAAGATGAGGAAATTCTACCCTCTCAGATTTTACTGGTGTCCTGGTGCCGTCCCAGCAGCAAGGATCTGGCTCTGTCTGCTCCATTTCAGCATGTATTTTCAGTTTTCATCAGACGCCTCCAAACAGTGAAGGACCCTTTTCTCCTGTTGCAGCAGTTTGCAGTCTTCCTCTAAACTTGGCGTCTCTCACCCCTGCGCAACCACAGCAGTCCCCAGCCTCTGATAGACAGTGGAGTTCTTGTCAGGGAAAACAGAAAGGCCAGCTCCCCGTTACTAACGTGCTCCCAGTTCAGCTGTGGAGCTATTATTTTATCTTCTTGTGAACTGTTGGCCCCCATGGGCCCTGAATGGTTACCAGCTATGGTTGGGATTCCATCCACTCCATCACTGTCACCACGGGCATCACTTGACTTCCTGCTTGTGTCCAGATCAGTAGGTTTTATGAATGTCCACATACCAAAATCAGAGACCTTTTGCTTTTCAGTAGGGGAAAGGTAGAGGAAAACTGTTCTAAGATTTAATGGATGGACCTGTTTAATGAGTATGGAAATTCAGGTGACAGAGGATCATAACTGATGCTAGGAAACAAAGTGATAAGAACACTCAACAAAGAGGATTTGATTCCAGACTCACTTCAGTAGGGAGCACAAAGTGGCTCCCCCTTTTGCAGGCGAGGGGCCTTCAATAGTTTTATCATTTAAAGCAGGGCCTCTTAAAAGATTTTTAAGGAAAATAAATATTTTTTAAATTGTATTTTCTTACTAGCGAGAAAAGAAACATTTCCCTCCACCAATAGCAGCAAGGAACAGAGATTCCTCCCTTTGGTCTTTTAAATGAAACAATGAAAAACATCATCAAATATGGCATTGCTTTGAATTCAAAATTGTTATAATGCTGTGTATAATAGAATTCCTCAGGGTAGTGTTTAAACTAGTTGACATACAAATTATTCAAGTCCTATTAAACCCCTTTACACAGCAGCTGTGCTCATAGACATATGAAATGACATATGTATGAGGCTGCCCATTGCCACATTGTTTATAATGGCAGAAGATTGGAAACAAGCTAAATGTCCATTGGTTTGGTCTGGTTAAATCTATTTTCTCCCTGTGAGTGTGCACACGTGCACACACGTAAGTAAATGGGATACTATACAACTGTAAAAAATAATTAGGAACCCCTCCAGGTACTAATGTGGAAGATCACCAGGATATACTTAGTGATTAAAAATGCAGTGCAGCACAGTATGCTACCATTTGAATTATAAAAGGAGGGAAACAGAGAGGTGCATGTGACTGTTTATAGATTTGCTCACATAGACGCAGGAAACCCTATAACGATATATGATAAACAGATACCATTACTTACCTGCCTGGGGAGAGAGTAGAAGCATGTGGGCACCTGAGGTAGGAGGCTTCTCACTGTGTGCCTTTTTATATTACTTGTTTTTTGGATCATGGGAACAAATTACCTATTGAAAAAAATTAAATAAGTTAATATTAAAAATTTTTATTCTCTACCCTTTATAGCAGAAGATTTTATTCTCTAGTAAGTAGTGGTTTGAGAAGGTCTTCAGTTGCTTTATCTGTAATAATTTTCGCGCAAAATCCTCAAGGAGAGATTACTAAAGAAATTGTTCTGGAAAATCTCAAAGACTCATGTTGTTTTTCTTCTTTTCTTTTGGAGACTTACTTCATTCTGCAGTTTTCAGAGATCCAGGGAGAGGTAATTAATCCGTTAGGTTTTTCCTAATGAGTGGGATACAAGTATTATCCTACTATCCTAAAACATGCTTGCTTTTACCT